AAATGTCAGAGCTTTTGTTCAACAATGCACAGAAGAAATGTTGAAAACTTTGCCTGAATGCGAGAGACACAAACATGAAATCTTGATTCGTGTTCTCATTGATGTATTTACAGAGACAGCCACAAAAACAGACATGTTTGTTGCATTGCTGAAATCTTTTGCAAATTGATTAAAACTTGTGCGTGAGAACAATAGTGGCCCAGCCAAGCGATATTGATACTTGGAATTACTTAATTTGACTGAATTAAAATCTTGTTTTACTTTGTAACGCTCTCGGGGAAAAAAGTGTGATTTATTTTGCAACACCCCTTAGTTCTTCCTAAATTTGCTATATAATTTAGGTCACTAAGGGTAGCAACAGTAACATTTCCCAGATAAAGACAGCATATTTTACTTTGTTAAATACTTCAACAAGTGAATATAAAAAAATAATTCTGTAATGCTTGGGGTAGAGTTGGATGATTTGATCAATTTATCTATGAGCAATGATTACGTCAGTTGCCACAAAATAATCAATTAACTGAAGTTAATGCTTCCAATTATTACCATTTTTGATTATTCCAATAATCAATTAATTGAAATTATGATTAAATTTATTGTCACAAAAATAACCAACTAATTGAAATAAAGGTTTCTGATTATTAATGATTTACATTATTCTGACTAACCAGATAATGAAAATATTGGTATTGTATATAGTCAACAGTTCAGAATTAATGACAGTAGCAAACAAGGAAAAAAAAGCTAAATTCACTATAGTCAACAGTTCAGAATTAGTGACAGTAGCAGACAGCCTTGCAATCAGTTGGGCAGGTATAATGGCAATGGGAATTAAGCATGAGACCCTGGAATCACTAAAGCTGTTCAAACTAAATAGAAAATAAACTTTTAAGGTTAAACTTTGATATATCACAGATAGCTCATTATGTAGCTTTATACTTAACAAATACAGTGAAGTTAGTTTTTTTTCCTTGTTTGCTACTGTCACTAATTCTGAACTGTTGACTACAGTGAAGGTAGCTTTTTTTTCTTTGTTTGCTACTGTCACTAATTCTGAACTGTTGACTACAGTGAAGGTAGTTTTTTTTCCTTTGTTTGTGTGTTTGTACATAACATGTTTTTTGAGAACATTTTACTAATTGATTGATGGAACCATCAATTATTTGATTGTCAAATAACACTAATTGCTTAAGTCTAGTTTTTGTAGTGTTTTTGTACATGTATTTTTCTTTCTGTTTTGACAACTCTGATGCTGAGATGTTTTAGTGGGTAATGAAAAGACAAAACAAATGTTAAAGTACTGTTGTGTACATCTTTTATTGAAAGTAATGCTAGTAAGATAATTTGTAAAAATTCATTCTTCCACACTTTCAAGTAAAGCTTGTCCTTCTGCCTTATCTTATGTCACTTGATGAACACTAGCTGGGCTTCAGTTTTTTTTTGTGATATCTAAATTTTTGCAACATCTGTGTGCAGGATTGAACCTTGGGTCTCTGGATGCCATACAAATGATGAAGGGTTAACCCACTAGCTGTTGCAAATAAGGCAATTTTTAACAACTAAACACTTTTAGATACCATACAGAACTTGCTGTTTATTTCCTTGTACATTATTTCAAAATAAGGCAAGTGAGCATTTATGAATAAGTACACATAACAGTCATAAGAAATTAAACAATGTTATTAAGATAAGTGAGGTAAAATCTGGTTGCAAATGAAACAGGAAAAAATGTTTGTTTTTCTTTTGTGAAATAATTTGAAATAACCTGTAAAAATGGTCAATTACAATATTTTTAAACTTTTTTACTTCAGTGAAGGTAAAGTGATAGAATGGTTTGAGGTTTAAGCAGAATTCTTCAGATTGCATCCAAATGATACTGATCTAACTTTGAATAGTTGTTGCTTAATCTTCTGTGTTTTCATTAGATGATGGGTGCCAGGTAAATCACTTCAGAATACTTCAACTAATGATAGGGCTTCTGTGTGGCTATTTTGTTTTGTATATGCCTTTTGTACTAGTGTTTTTATCCAGGAGGAACTCTATTATCAAAATCACTTTAACTGCAAATTTTTTGAGTTTTTCTCTTTATCTTAAAATAGTTGTTTTTTAAAATACTTTTTGAAGATATTTCTGGCACTTTCCAAATTAACATGCAGAAAATATTAGATATATTGTATAATCAGTGATTACTGTCATACGGTCAGCAGTATATGCTTAGTACCCATTCTCTTCTCATACAGGTGTAATGAAATATTATCATGCTCTTACTGATTTATTCAGTAATTTGCAACACATTTTCAAACGTATTGAGTAGATTTGCATGTTTCAGAGGCATTGTCAGAATGATAGAACAAAGTTATGGTAGTTATATAAAGGAAACTTAAAACTTTCCTAGTGAAAGCTAAACATGTAAAATTTAAATGTATGATGTAAATTTATACATTTATTTGTGCTGTCATTTCTCATCATGTTTTGTTCGAAAAAGGTCAGAAAATGCAAGAAATGTTGTTTCTGATAGTTTTCATTTTAAAGCTATCTGTGTTAGCATGTCCTCTTAACTCTGTAGGGATTCTCCATGAGCTCTGACTAAAACTGACAGGATTACTTACCTATAGTAAGTGTATCAGCCACTTACTTTTAAAGGTAATAAAAATCCTGAATTTTATACAGCTGATCACATTGTTTACAGAGTACTACTAAACGGATACTAGATATGTGTAACAGAAACTAATTTGAATTTATATTTCTTTACCTGCCTTAAGATAGATTTGTAATGTATCTTACATACTTTCTTTAGTAAAATTTAAAAATTTGTAACCTTGATTATACCTTTTGCCTATTTTTTTTTCATCTGTTTGGTTTTATTACTTTTCTTTAACTTTAGAATCAGATATTTGCAACAATATCATTGCTATGGGTTTTCCAGCTGAAAAACTAGAAGGAATTTATCGTAATCATATTGATGAAGTTGTACGGTTAGTATTAATTTGATGTTTATAGTTTTGTCTCTAACGTTTGTGTATTTGCAGAAATATGCTAATGAAACTGTTCAATGATTAAAGTACTTGGTAGTTCTAAAATGTCTGCATCATTCTAATTTTAAAAATAGGCAGCTGTTTTATATTGATTACTTATATTTTTGTGTCTGAAACAAATAAAGTGTAAAGATTTGTATATGTAAACTTTTAATTTTTTTTGTTAAAATATTCAGTGCTGTTAGCTAAAATTACATTAAGGATGTGAATACATTTGAAATAATTTGTAATCAATAAACCAGTTGTTAAAAAACAGTAATAATACATCAGCATAATAATGCACAAATTGTTAAAGAATTAACAAAACATTTAAAAAAAATATTTTTTTCTATCTCTTTGGTGTGATGAATGGTTAGATTTGTGTTTAAGTATGTAAGATTAGAATTTAAGGTATTTATTTATATACTATAACTACTGTGCTAATTATGTGATCTTAATTGAATAGAGTTGTTTAAACATTTTAATTATATGATCTATTCTGAGTCAGTGACCATATTATGGTAAACAACTGACCCAACATAACTTTCCTTAGAATTGAATAAAATTAAGTGTGAAAGGTTAAACACTTTGGCTTATGTTGGAGCTTATATATTTATTATGTAGATAGGTATTTATATTTTAGAATTTGTCAATTATTTGTATTTTTTGCTGAGTCGAAGACCACAATGTGGAAAACAATTGACTGCATATTATGTTAAGAGTTGGATTAAATGATAACTTTGAAAGGTGAATGCTTATGTTTGTATTTGATTGTGTAAGGCAAGGATTAAGAAATGTATGCATAATCTTAACTTACAAGGTAAATTTTTGATATCATTATTGGAGATTGTAAGAAGAGATTAAGAAATGTATGCATAATCTGTAACTATTATGTTAATTGTAAGGTAATTTTTGATATCATTATTGAAGATTGTAAGAAGAGAGGCAAAATTGTCAATGTTACAAATTTTAGTCAAAAAGTAAAAATTTGCCAAAAAATTTAAATGCCATATGTTATTCATTAGAAGAAGAACATCCTCTCAAAAGTTTGTTAGTGTTCTAGTTCCCTTTATAAAAATCCTCCAAATACAATATATTGTATCAAATCTAATGAGCTATGATAGGTATACCATGTAGCATATTTTGGAATCTTGTATAGGATAGTTTCTAATGTTTAATGGTAAACAATAAATATTTAAGTATGACTGTCCCTAGTTTCAAAATACAATGAACCATTTACTCAGTAATTTACTGTATAAAAATAAAAACCATGAGAGTAGGCAGTCTCTTATGCTCTACATGTTTCAATATTTTATTTCTTCATCACCATCAGGAGGGCATTATTTTGCAAGAGTTATAGCTTATGTATTCTTAAGAATCACATGATCAAATTCACATATTGATTTAACTCAAATAGTGTCATGCCACCTGTTAACAACTTGTTTCTCTAACCCTTTATACCTATTTAATATTTTAAAATTATTTTTATCATATTTGATTGTTATGATAGATTTGCAGTTATTATAAACATTCCAATTTTCATGAAATTAATTTGATTTGTAACCCAAGTATACTCTATTATGATCATATCTTTTAAATTTTAAATCTTTTTTAAAAACCTTTTACAGGTTTGGTTTAATTCAATCCAGTAAATTTGTTATGGGGGAGTGAAATAAAACAACTTCATTAAGATTGCAGTCATTCAGGTGTTTGTACTTTGGTAGCTGTACTCAAACTGTATTCAGATGCTTTCTTAACACTGAATATAATATTAACCACTCAAAAACTATATTGGTAGTTAGTCCATTCAAAACTTTGAACATCGATATTTGTTTCTTGGGAAATGTCAAAACAAAAGCCATCTAGCTAAGAATGTCTATCCAAAAAAAAAGACACAAACAAAAAACAAACAAACCACAATTAAATTTACTACCTAAATGATATTCATAAAGTAAAAGTAAAAAACATCAACCATAACAATTACAATAAAAGAAGAAATCTGCATTATGATACAGAACTCCAGCATATTTATACACAACTTAGACATCAACATGTAGAAAAAATTAGGAACACAAAAACCACAAAAAAACAAATGGCAGCTAATATTAATAGCTAAAGAATGCCCATAAAGTAAACTAAATGTGAAAATAACCAAAACAAAACAAATGGCATCAGACACGTAACTCTGAACTTTTGCGAAGCATGGGTGTTGCAGAAATTTAAGTTTAAATATACTGATGCCTGGGCATTCATTAAATTGTCCCAAATAAATGAAAATTAATTAATTACTTAAGATGCTTTATTGCATAGTTTATGGCAGGAAAGTGACAGCAGAAATTGCTTCATTTTGATTTTTCTGTTTACATTCCAGTTTTTCAGGCTGGAATTCTTATTTTACATCATTTATGGTTGGCGTCTATAATGCCAAAACAACTTTAGAACTGAGAAACCTTTGAAAGTATAATTTAATCAACCTATATCTGATTTCAATGGCAAATATACTAATATACTAATTTTGAATGAGATGGCTGCTAATATTGATTTATAGTATTTATAATAAATATATCAGTTTTATAATGTCAAATGTATAAACATGCTGAGGGTATAGTTGCTTAAGTAAATGTGTGTGTGTGTGTGTCTACACATGCACAAAAACACACTTTTGAGATATTATGAAATAAACAATTTAAAATTTGAAGATAAGGTTCTGATACTAGTGGTGAAAACTTCTGTGGATTACATCTGCCTGGTGTTTTTTGTAGACAACTTCTTTTTTGGTATTTATCCTGAGGCGCTTATCAGTTGAGTGTGATTTTAGTATTTTGTTTATATTTAACCAGCCTGAATGGTATAGTGTTGTCTTGGAAGAGAGCTCCAGATTGTTAGATATTTTTGTAGTGTCATCACTTCAGTGGTGTTATTTATGAAAGATAGTCATACTGTGGAAGAGCTTAGGTTGTTTTGTCAATAAGTTTGTTGCTTGTGTAAGACTATACTTCATATTTCATTTAAGTATAGACATTGATCTCAAGTAATAGTTTGATGGGTTTTGACATAGAAACCATTAAAGTATTCCATTGTTTGTATATGCTGAGGATTTGTTGTTGTTCTACTTTATGTGGCTGGTCTTGTTGTTGTGTTCAGCCCCAGAAAACTTCTGTGGATGTAGCAGATTGGTTTATAGTTTAGTATATGTTCTTCCTGTATGAACAACAATCTTATTAATGAAGTTGTGACTAGAGTTCACAATAACAGTGCTTGTCAGTTTGAAGCTCATTCACATGATATGAAAATCATGTTAATTTGATGAAGGCCTCAATACAATAGATGAAATATCATTTGCCACGAGGCTCCAGAGAGATGCAGCCTTTGAAGATTCAATACTAGTACTCCCTACTATGCCAAAACTATTCTCAGGTCCTGGTAATAAGTTGTAAGGAAAATTGAAGAGAATATGCTGCAACACTAGGATACATGTACGTTGTTGCTAGAACATATTAATTTTGTAATTACTTTTGTCTTAGATGTACAGAATTAAATATTTTGATGATACTGGAATTATTATTTTTTCAATCTAAAAGATTTTCATTTGTCATCTCTTGTTTGATAGGTTTCTAGAAACCAGACATAAAGATCATTATAAGATATACAACCTGTAAGTATAGACATACATTTTCTTGTTTGTTTAATTTCAAACTCTTTTGTTAAGTAAAATTAAAATGTTATGGTGCACTAGCTATGTATTCTAAGCAAGCATTTTTATTTATGGATGTTATATTCTCTTGATATGAATGTTAAGAAACATTTATAAATGTGATAAAGGCTTTCTGAAATTTAAAACAAGTTATATCATTAAAAATTGCTGGATGGGAATAAAAGTTTAAAATCATGTAAATCACCAGATAACCTACTTTTTTTGTTCATGACTATTAGGTGAGTGATATGAGATAAGTTATGTAATTAGTCAAGTTTATGATATACATGTACCAAATGTATTGCTACTCTTATAAATTAATTATTAATCTTTTTTTAATTCAAGAAACTTAACTTATATTCATAATATAAGTTTTATGAGAAACCATTCAAGTATTTGTATCAGTAGCTCAGTTCAAAAGTTTTTATCACAGGTGCTTTCATGGTTGTGTATGCTGTGTAACAAATATTATTTCACAGATTTTATTTAAACTCAAAAAGACTGTTGTATATATCTACAAATCATTTAAATACCTGGTTTCCAGGTGATAAATAGGTAGAGTGTAGTTGTGATTACAGGGGAGTGTTAACACCTACAGTATGATAATGGAAACAAGCACTATGCTATACCTGAATTGTTTTTGTTTTGTCTCTTATGGGGAATACAACTCTTGATAGAATTGGTGTATTTTTGTAAATCCACACACACACACACACACACACACTACCTTTATTATACAGCTCAAAGAGAGAGAGAGAGAGGGTGATCTTATCTTCTTAGTTCATATTCAGAATTTCTTTATCTTTCAGTGGAGTGAATTTTCTTATTTCACGTTATCTAACAAAATCTATAGCATTACCAGCTGAACTACAGTTTTGACTACAATTAGTCTGTCTAGGTCAGTAATGGAAGTTGTCATCCAGTGGTCTGTTACATGGATTTGTGTATGAAAGCTGCTGTTGTATGGTATTTATATTTAAGCTGGTACCCATCTAACATATCATCGTAGCAAGTCATGTTTAATCCCAATTTTAAAATCACAAATTTGTAAAATGTATGTACATTTATATACTCATGCACATTTATAATTATATTCATTTTGATAGTTAAAAGCTAACTTAAAGTGCCAACAGACAAAACAATGAAACCATATCTTATGGCACTGATGTTTCATATACTAGTATCCAGTTGACTCGCCAGTTGGTAAAAGTTATCTGTGGAAACCTGACATCAGCAAAATGAGAGGGGCAAAGTTGTCATGCTTCATTCCAACAATTCCACGGTAGTGTCTTACATTACCTCTCAAGGGGGAACTTTGAACCTTGGATCTCCTATGTTGGGCCCACTCCAATCACATCATCCTACTAGTTTACTATGTTCTGGGGGTGATGAATTTGGTGGCAGATCAATTGTCTTGACCTGACCAGATTCTCCTGACAGAATAGATGTTTCATCAAGAGTTTTTCCAGTGGGCTTGCTCTTGGTTCAGGACACAATGATTGATGCATTTGCCACTTATTGGAACACTCAACTACTGGCATTTTGGTCTCTGGTACCTCACCCTGGGACATTGGAAATAGATGCATTCAGTCAGGACTGGACTGGATTGAGCATGTTTGCTTACCCACTATTTTGTCTCTTACCACAAGTCCTAGCAATTATTCGTTCAACCCTTTGTCGTATTCTGTTGATAGCACTGGATTGGCCAGCTCAACCCTGGTTTCCACTCCTGTGGTACCTTCAGGAGTTCCCATCTCTTTGGCCATCTCTTTTGAGGCAGCCAGGATCCAACATTGTACACTTATCCATCTGAAGATCCTTCACATGGTGTCGGGGTTCAACCTTTTTCAGTCTCTGTGCCACTCCACAATGGACATTTATCAGCAGAAATGGTATACATATTGACAATGGTGTATTGCAAGGAGGTTGATCTCACTTTGTCCAGACCATAGCTCGGTTTTTAACCTGACTCTTTGACAAAGGTTTGCATTTTCCACAATTGCCCTATATAAGGCAGTCTTATTGGCTACCTTTAGATACTCAAAGAGAAGGAAATTCTTTGAGTCCCCAGTGCTCTCAGGCCTCCTCAAGCCATTTTGGGTCCTTTGTCCCACACAGCCTTTTCAGTTACCTACCTAGGATATAAAGGTGGTGTTCATGCTCTTTCTTGACATCCATTTGAGCCCTCAGCCTCGTGTATCACCTTAAAGTTTATTTTTTTGTTGCTGCTCTCCTGTGGATGTAGCCAGTTGGAAATGTTTTTGCTGCACATGCACAGGACGCTTTATCATTCTACCTATGTTCTTCTATACCCAGACAGGTCATTCTTACCTAGACACTGGCAGCCAGGGAAGGGGATAAATCCTTTTCACTGATTCCTCTGACTGCTTTTTTTCACCTGTATGACCAATCAGAACCCGATTATTTGTTATGTCCATTAAGGGCCTTTAAGTGTTATATTATAGAGGTGCTAGAGAATGACTTTTTATTCATTGTGACCCTTTACTTTCTCAGGATTTACCCCCAGTTACCTTGATGGGGTTGGTATGAAAATTGATCCATATTGCTTATTCTGGGCTTTCTTTAGATGTGAGAAGACTTCTGTGAGTCACTTCATAATTCCAGACCTTATGATTTCTGCTTCCTCAGGTTAAGTATGGCATTTGAGGTCCCTTCATTCCTAGTTTGATGTGTTTCCTTATGGACTTCTTCAGGTTGAGGAGAGGATTTGTTCACTTCGGTGTTGCTTACCTTCTCGTCGTCATTCCAGTGGCTCTGAATGCATCACTCTATAGCTACAATTTGGGAGTCCCTCACAAATATATATATTGCAGTCCAAATGTCCTATCCATCAATGTGGGATATAGGGGCCATAACCTTATAATTCCAACCCCGAGCATGGGGACCTTGGCTACCTGGTTGGGGCCTGGCCAATGTTGATGATGAAATATGTCAAATTCCACCCTCAGTGCATGATTTAGATTCCAGATGAAGATGTTCTGGATGTAGCGAGGTTCCCCACTAGGTTGCTAATCTTATAGGTTTTTTTTAGCACACTCACAATCTATGCAGACACATTCTGTATGGATAATGCCCTCACCAGCCCCTCCACCTTATCAATGTGGGATTCTGGCTGTAGTGTGAGGTAAGTATGTTTTGGAAGTTAACATTTACCTCTGGTCACACCCTTCCACCTCTCCTCCCCACTAAGAGCCAGTGTTAAACTGTGGATTGGTTAGTCTCAAAAGAATGACAGTATTATCTGAAGAAGATACTTATATATTGTACCAGGATGGAGGGTATATGGGCGTAGGTGGAGAGTGTCTCGAGATAGATATCTCCAAGGGCAATTAAATGAGGAATAAAAGACTGGAACAAGCAAGAAAAAAAAAGAAACCGATGCTTTGATGGGCAAAGGAAAAGAAACCTTAGCAGTTGAGTAATAGCTGTAGTGTGAGAGGAGGTAAGTATTATTGGAAAGACATTTTCAATTTAAGCAAATGTTAACATTTACCTGCCACAACAGACAGTTGCCTTTTCAGAAAGTTAGTTTTGAAGAGGTTCCTTATCAATTCAGATCATAGACAAGACTAACTCTGATCTCTTGTTCCAGACTGGATAAATCTCGTGTACTTAAATTTTTAATATCAGACTTTCCGTAAGTGACTAGTGCTACCCATGTGACTGATCATTCCCAAATGAGAGAGGTCACCACTTCAAGAGCCACCTGACTGCTATTAGGAAAGATAATTTTACTGTGAGTGAACTTGCAGTTATCTTTTTAACAGGAAGAAAAAAGTGCTATTTTAGGTGAATGACACAGAACAATAGATAACTAGAACAAAAGGGTCTTAATGACCTTGACCAACATTTTATGTGGAATCTGCACGTACTTGCATAAGTAGCAAAAAACAGAAAACACATGGTATGTTTATATACTACAATGTTCTAACTTAAATTTAAGTCAGGTTTCAATTTTGAATAATTTTTTTATTTTCTCACAAAAAAGAAGTATCTTTATTTTTTTTCAAGGTATATTTCTTGTTTCTGAAGGCTTATAAATGAGCTCAATCTCACCCTGTTCATCTGGCTTAGTTGGAATCTTTAATGAATAGAGCTGGGTGATTAACTTGATTAATTGATGTAATCTATTACCTATGGGTGTTGATTACATCAATAAGTGTCCCGTAAAATAATACTGGTTATCAAATTTTTATTTTTGTTCTGTCTCTCTCAAATGATAGTGTGAAGTTTATTGTCTTTATCAACCTGAATCTAAAAATCTAACTGAAGGTTTTCTATCATATCTAGACTCCCAGAGACCACACATTTAGCTTTTGTCTATATAGAAAAAAGTCATTTGGTTGGGCTATCATGATTATATTGAAAAAAAAATTACAAACAAAGCAGCCTTTTGACAAACAATTTATTGATTTATTAAAGTCACAGTGCAAACAAAGCAATTTGGTGACTACATTTGCTTTTATGATGTAAAGTAAGGCATGCACATATGGTGGGAGCAAGCTCAGTAAATATAGGGAATCTAAACTAGTGCCTTTTTGTAAAAATCCTGTATATTCATACAACACATTCCACTGTTTGACAAATGCATATAATATTTTATCTTTTTTTTTTTTTATTGGCTATGATGTTAATATTGTGTATGCCTCAAGTATATTAAATAAGCAATTTATCTTATAAACCTCTGTAACTGTATATCATGAAAACTATATGATACAAAGAAACTACATTTTCTTCAAAGCTGTCTTATATCAGAAAGTTTAGCTATTTTTATATGCAAGATAAAATTTTTGTTAACCTGTGTAATTGATTAATCAGAATTATGATTAAATCTATCAATATCATGAAAAGAACCAAAATTAGGGATTTGACTAATTACTGTTTTTAATTATTCAATTATTCAAGTAGTCTAAATATTGTTATTATAATTTTTGATTATT